CCGGCACACTAGCGTCAGAGCGTCCGCACACGCCCGCGTCTATTGTTGAAAAAGTTAAAACAAATACGCGAGACGAGATTCCAGAGGCGACGAGGCGCGAGACGGAGGCAAAAACCATGCAGGCAGTGTTGCCAGATGGAGAAAAAAAAAGTCAGCAGATTGATCCCCAAAAAGTCAGTAGATTTGCACAAAAATCAGTAGATTCCAAGAAATATGTGTTTTACCATGTTTTGCTATCTCCATTAATACACACTTTGAAGAAATAGTACAGAGTAACAAATAACATGGTAATAAACACAAGTAAAAATGAAAGAAAAAAACAAGACCAGTTCTCGAGTAACTTTATATGAAGGACAAATTAAAATGGCTCCATAAATGTTTTTGTTTTAGTCATTATTGACTGTTTCGAGGATTATTCTTTGAAATCGAGATTGAGGGCACCTTTGGGATCACAGATGAAGGTGACAGTGCGACGTTCACCTGTCGCTATTATTGAAACGAAACCGAAACAAGACGCTCCGGCAAGTGCGCGCGAACATGTCCAATGGAAGTCCTCTGCATGCTGCCATCTTTCCTTGCTGGGCTGTGGAAGGTTTTTGAAGCAACGCTGTTGGTCCGGAGCACTGTTGAGGCTACGCGTCTTCTGCTACGGGCTTATTTCTTTTTCGCCTGACCCAAAGTTTGCGTTCAAACGTGGAGAAACTTCATTCGTTAGCTTTTTAAGCCACCGAGGAATAGGATTATATCATTTTCTTGCCACAGCCTGCCAAATGAAAAAAAATAACTGAAATTTGGATGTCGATCCCATGCATTCCGCCGAACGAATGCATGAAAATTGCGGCTCTCTCCGCTCAACTCGAAGCTATTCTAGTAGATTGTATAGGAGCAGCCGAGAGTTCAGGCGCATGCGCAAACACCTCTCGCTCTGCGCCGCGGGCTGATTGGCTCACTCGGGAGAGGGACGTTACGGCAGGATCATAGGCTAGCCAAACTCTCTCCATATATGGCTCTGGCCCGGATGTCACCGTCGAACCTGCCCAACCTGCCGAACCTGCTCTGGGTGAATAGATGGATGAATATACGGCTACGTCACTCGAATAGGACGGGCTTCTGGGCCATCTAGCCAGTGCTTCGTTTTTAATTCTGGGACATTATGAGTTTCCTTTGATGGGCGACAATGGGAACTGAAGGGGCCATGTAATAAATTTTTAATATGTTTACTAAAAAAAAGTCAGTAGATTTTCTTGTTTTTCAGTGAATCAGTAGACCCGGAACGAAATCAGTAGATCTACTGATAAATCAGTAGACCTGGCAACACTGCATGCAGGAGGGGGAGGGGGGACGGGGGAGGGGGTTAGCGGATGGATGCAGGGTGCTTTCTGTCGGGCGGCCGCTTGCGCCACCTAGCTCACGCCTGCTCACTTACGCTCTTAGTTTAGTTTCGGTTTTGAAAAGCGACCGAAATTGGTCCTTTGGCGCAGGCTTGGCGCAGATTACCCATATTTTGGCAAAATGTAGCAGGATGTCGCAGGGTTAGCCTCTTGGCGCGGTTTGCGCAGCAATCACATCACTGCAATACGAGTAGTGTTTCTACCAAAGAACCGCTGCACCTAGGGTGCCTACATGTTTCCGCCGCTCCGCTGTTTAGGGTGGCGACAACGTTTGTGATACCTGTTGCCGACAAACCAGTGTTGCCTACCTCGTTACCAAGGCAGCCTCCGCTGTTTCGTCGACCATTTTGTCACACTCGCCAGTCGTGCGCTCGCGCTACTCCGCTAATCCTCGTTAGGGCTAGGGAGCGCCCACCGCTCTCGTTCCGACGGCGAGGTTTCGGCGTGCGATGCCGGTCTGTTGCGTTCCATTTTGTCGAAGGGACTCGCGTTTCGATAAACGCAACGCACACTTCCTGCTCGCAACTTCAAAGTATGAAACACCCGAATAAAGAGAGCGACAGCCACGACGACCGCCATCCCGCTGAGCCTCCGACTCGTCCGACTCCTCTTATGAACGGAAACGGAAGTGGCCTCACAGTGTTGCCGGTGTGTCGAAACTACGAAAACTCAACGTTGTGCACGTTTAGCCAAATAAGAAGTGGGTCAAAATGGCGGTGGGAGAGGATCTGGGAAAGGGTAACAAGAAGTTGGCGCCACCCTAAAGCGGAGCGGAAACATGTAGGCACCCTAGCTGCACCTAGCCTAGTTTTCGTTCATTAAACGAGCAAAAAAAAAAAAAAGAAAAAACTAGAAGCGGCTTGTTTGATGAACGAGCCGCTGTCCTTTGGCCAGTGTGCGGTGACGCATAGAATACATGGGCTGTTGACACAGGGGGCATTTGACGCGGGGCTTTTGAGATTGGTGGCTTTCGTGTTACGGTCTTTTGAGAATGGGGATTTCCAAACTGGGGAAAAAGAAACGGGGCTTACGGCAGGGCATTTGACGCGGGGCTTTTGAGATTGGGGTCTACCGTACACCACCCATGATTGCAATGGCAATGCACGAGGTAACACTCACTAGCGTAAAACGCGGCCGCCGAGGCAAAATAAAAAATCGGAGCAAATTCGAGAAAGCAGGCAATGACTGTTCACAGTTGGTTGAACGAAGTCACCTTGTGTGAAATTCTAGAACTATGCGGAGGGCAAGTTCGTCTGCTCCTTGCGCAGGGGGTAGCGGTGACGTCAGAACGCCGAGCCCCGATTGGCTGATCGAGCCCCCTATCTGAGCGTCGTCTGCTTCTTTGCAACGTCGTCTGCTCGCAACGTCGTCTGCGTCTGTCTTACGTTTCCTGCGACTTTCGGAAGTGCAGAGGCCAGATTCACGAAACGATCTTACGCCAAAAATGTTCGTAAGACAAAACTTAAGAACAAATTCGTATTCAAGAAACAAAATTTTCGTAAGTTTTGCGCAGGTTACGGCGAAATCCTACGATAGCTCCGAAGCTGTCTTACGCACTTCTTACGATCAAGTCAGCATGGCCGACAGCGTCGCGGTCGCGACGACCCACGGACGTTTATTTTTCTACGTGAGCTTCTCACGCGTCCTGACTTCAAGCAGCAAAAAAAAAAAAGTAAAAATTACTTGAAACAGAGCACGACGAACAAGAACGCTGGATCCACAGACACCGGGGAAAAGCTCCGACGGCGACGATTCCACCGAACGCGACCAAACGAGCTGGGCAGTTAGGCCTAGCAGGCACTCCGCGACTCGGCGACCGTCTGCCCACGACCGGCTGACGTGCTGAATAGAATATGCCCGCGCGACCCTTGTGAACCCTTCCCGTGTTATACTTTGATCGCTGACCTCAATTTTAGATTAAGAGGTCAATTTCTTCCTCTTGTTATCTCCTTGTTTCCCGAGGCAACGGTGACTCTCGCCGGTGAAAAAGCGGCGAATCTCCGACAGACGCAGGAAAGGTAAAGCAGCCATCGCTTTGACTAGCAGACGTAAAGCAGACGACGTTAACTGCGCCAACCCGCCGGCGCCGTTAAAGAGTGAGGGGTCTCGCCTCACACGAATGGAGGTAAAAAGTATTTGGGGGGGAACTTGCGGACACTAAGCAAACAAACCTCGGCGCCCCGGGGCACCTCGCCAGTGAGTCCTTTGACTTCCCTCCTTGATGCGCGTCTGCTAGTTGTTAGACGAAAACAACGTACTGCTCGAGTTATTTCGTCTGCTTTCCTTAAAGGCGAAGTCGAGTTCGCTCCGAAAGTCGCAGGAAAGGTAAGACAGACGCAGACGATGCTGCGAGCAGACGACGTTGCAAAGGAGCAGACGACGCTCAATAGGGGGTCGCGATCAGCCAATCAGGACTCGGCGTTCTGACGTCACCGCTACTTCCTTTCTCATGCGCAGAAGACGAAAATGAGCCCACTTGCGAGGCGTATACCCGTTTTCACCTCAAGAAAACAATAAGTTTTGCGCATTGTTCATACGCCGCGCGAAATAGTTCTCGCGAGATTTGGTTGTCGGAGGCACAAGCGATGCTTTTGGAGTTTAAAACGTGTAGTCCTTCATAAGATAACGTGTTTCCACTCTAAAATGCTAATAAATATATCTTAAATCTCCACCTAAAGGTGAAAATTAGTAATCATCCGCGAGAAGCCGGACTTTTTTTTCTATGGTTCTTGACGTGAAAACAGGTATAGTTCTATTTGACCCCGAAATTTCACCATGACATCACTCGTGATCTTGGCTACTTCTCACTTTCGGATTACAAGATCAATGCCGTGTGTAGAGCATAATGGAAGCCTGTAGTCGGTGTAACTGCAACACCACCGCCGCTGGACTGACGTTTACCTTATTTCCGTCGATGCAAGCAATAATCACGGGTGAAGCACGATTGCCCAGCACTATTCCATGTTTTAACCCAAAATGTGGAGGGTCTACAAAAGGCCTCTTCAGTGACTCACTCCGCTGCCATAGAGGAAGCAGACCCAGAATTACAGACTATCTACATCGATAAACATATTTTTTAGAATGAAATTTAATGTCGATAGTATGGGACCACGAGCTGCGGGTTAAGTTTTGAGAGAACCTACTACTTCGTTGGAACTGAATCTGCACGTTTCAGAGCAGACGAAAGCTTCGATTCAATGCTCGATAAACGCTGCCTTTAAATGTTTTGCCAGTGAATGATCTTTCGTTTTCGCTCTTAGCATCTTAAGATTTGAATGTGTATAGGGCACGCCTGAAGGATGGAAAACTATCCAGTTATTCTTTACCCGGGTATGTCATGACTATGCTACAAGCCCACGTGCACAAGTTACACAAGCTTGAGACATATGCATCGTGGGTTTCTCAAACTGGGGCTTTCGAAAATGGGGCGCAAAGGGCGGGGTGTTTGCACACAGGGCTCTTGAAAACGGGTGTTTTCGTGCAGTACATCAAAATTACATCCTATGAAAGACTTGCAAAGCTCTTGACCAATCGTGGGAGGCCGACCGCAGCGGCGCTTCTCGTCGCAGACGCCATTGTATCTGGAAAGAACGGGCCAAACACCATCCATACAGGGGAATGCTTTATTGTAGTTTCAACGGAGAGAACGAAACTACAGAGACTGGACGAGCAAACCACACTTTCCGGAGACAACTGTAGAAAAGTGCACGGGTCAACGTCCTCGAGTGTAATAAATATCTGCCCCCTGACGGGCCAAACTGACAACACGTGCCACGCTCTGACGGGCCCAAAATGACAACACCCCGACTTCTACTGCAGTGGTTAGAAAAAGCATTATCAAAACACTCAAAGCAACAGTTGCGCATCCGCGGCGGCAACACGAACGCGCCGCTTCCGCGGTTGCTGCTGCTAGTGCAGCTGCGGCAGCTGCAAGCACTCCGCTCCAGGTGCCTTGCGGGCAGCATGCGAGACGCTGGGTGCTCCAGGGCCCTCCAGACTTGCGACAACAATCTCTCGGTGCGTACCTTGCAACCGCAACAGGTTGGAGAAAAGCAAGCAAGGGAACTCTCGCGCAACTAGCTAGTGCTCTCGGCGGGCCCGTCTTTCTGGCTCGCAGATTCCAGAAAGTGTGCGCGAAGGTCAAGTCCAGGCCAAAGTCTCGAGAACGTTCAAATCGTCGGCTGAAGCGGGTCTATGTACGGTTCGGCAAGTTTTGCGGCTGCCACTCCAGAGAAAAGGGGAGATATTAGTTTTGAGAGAGCTACGGTAAGGAAATAGTGGTTAGGCCGTCACATCACAAGTCGCTGGGAGCACTTTCAATCGAGCCACAATGAATGTTGCGTAAAGTGCCACTGCATTCGCTGCCCAAAATAAGAATATAGCAATTATTGAGCAAAAGAAAATTCTAACAAATAAAAACAAGGCTGGACTTGACCTCTTTTGTTTTCTTTAAGTATACAGCTCAGAGAAACAAAAAAACCCACTCACAAATTCATGCACTCGACACATAAAGGGGCTCAATGAGTTACAGATTACAGGGAAGAAAAGAAAGCGGCTGTAGAAATTATGTTTCAAAATGGGCCCACGCAAAAAAAAAAAAAAATTACAATGAGCAACCAGTGGCCAGACGGGAAAACACACGAAAGCATAGCTCTTCTCCCACCTGGCAACGTGGAATCTGGCTAAAAACAAATCATGTTAAGGGGAGAGAGTGGACATATCTCTCCCCCTTCCGGGCAGTTATGGTTGTCCGAGGGTCCTTCACAAAGCACTCCCGCCTTAGAGGCATTCCCCCTCCCCCAACCTCAGAGCAAGACTACACCAATGTTTAACATAAAAAAAAGCAAAAAAAAAACCCCTCTAAGGAAAAAAAAAAACTCAGGTAAAGAAGAGATGACACAGCAGGGGCTGCCTGTGGCACAGAAGGAGGCTTCTCAGTCTTCCTTGGGCCTCTGGCCAATGGGGATCTTCGACTTGATGCTGGGTCAGAGAAATTGGGATCGGCCATTAGTACGGTTCAGTTGACACTTTCCTAATGAGGGGGGAGGAACCACAGAATATGGACAGAAAGAGGATACGAAGGTGGTGGAGCCCTTGAAGACCAGCAAACACTTTCCAAAACTTTCCCAATTCGTCTTTCAAAAAAACTCCCAGTCCCTCAGCGCATCCTCATGCTCCCACTAGGGAAGAGGGTAAGCAGACTTGTTTTTCTCTCGTTCCAGTCACAAGATATAAGAAAAGAGGAGCGGTTTGCCCCACGACACCGGTGTGGTGCCGCCTTCGAAGATTCACTACTTTTATACTGCCGCCCCTCCCTCCTTTGCCGCAACTTGGCTAGCCATTTTGCTGTCACCCAAAGGGCAGGCTTTTCCCCTATAAGAGGCCATGGTAGTACAAATGGACCGGCGTTGCCAGTCCACGCATGCGATGGACGGGAAGCTTTTGTTCGAGCCCGTGCTCGTTCTGACCTCCTCATTTGAACCTTCCAAAACGTTTGTGGCAGTATTTCAACCTGTCGACCGAACGTCTGTACGCAACACCGCGTTCAACAAGAACCACGGTCGACACTCGAGTCAATTGTCCGTCCCCCCAGCCCCCCCCCACGGCCCGTCGCACTTTTCCGAAATGTTGCCTCGCCGTTCTTTTCTTTTTTTTGCGAAGACACCGAGGGGAGGGAGCATCTCGTAGGGCGACCCAATGTGCCGTCAATAGAGGGGTGACAACGCCCGCAGTTCCCCGTAAAGCGTCGTCTGATGCTTATATATTTGCCATCTAACTGCATCCCATTATTTTACTTCTGCAGTCAATTCTTCGACATGTTTTGACAACTTTCGAATTCGGCGTGTCGGGTACATGTGAAGAGGTTAGAGGGGGTACATGAAACAGTACTGATGCAGACTGAGCGTGTAGGTGACTCTAGGACAGCACGAGGGTTCAAAGGCCAATTACTTGTGACAACCGAGGTTTGCTCGGGAACCATCTACTACTATGCAAAGCGTCGTGCTTTGCCTTCCTAAGAAATCAAAAACAGTGGCTTTTGATTATATATACCAGTAGTTCTCGAATGGGGGTCCACTACCCTTTGGGGTCTGCAAAGCCATTCTAGGGGCCCGCGAAACTGCCTTATCAGTCAAGCCTGGCAATAAAAGTTTATTGTTATCAGGTTGAGAAGCAATGTTCCAATTTTTCGATTAGTTTTCTCGCGTGTATCTCCATAAGAGAAATCTACTTCACACTACTCCCTAGTTATATCCACTTATAAAATCATTATTGCAAGAAACATTTCCCTTCCACTCACCACGTGGGCCCACAAAACATCAATGGTTGAGAACCACCGATATACAGGATGGGTTGTCGAAATATTTCTCACGTACTTAATGTGTTTAAAGAAAACAAGTAGACAATGTCGCTTCCTTTCTTAGATTATCAATAGTTTGTGTTTGCGAAGATAAAACATTCAGCAGTAAACTTCCGACTTCATCCGTTTTTCGCAAATCAGGACACTGCTCATCCAGGTTGTCGACCCGCTCTTGCACTATGGCCGAAGTAATTGACGAACATGGCCAGATTCACGATAAGGCGTTTGTAAAAAAGTCGTCAATCTTGACTTCAAAGCACTACATATTTCTTACAGTGGCTCAGTTCCTGCGTTTCATTTGTTGCGTCACAACTAGCATACCACAGCACGCAATGGACGCTCGCCAAATCCCAGTTTTCTTTGATAAGAATGCAGTCGTGCATTGAAAACTTCTCGGTTCAACTAGCTGCACTTCACTCGTGCACTACCCTTCACATTTACAGTGTTTTCAGGGTACAAAGCACACAGAACAGGGTTTGACTTTATGCATTCCATTTGAGGATTCTTCAGATTGCAAAGGAACGAGCTTTTAACGTGAAGATTGAGATCTAAAAATTGTAGCGCACCCTCAGAAGTGGTCTCAACCTTAAACTTTAGTCCTGGAGAACAATCTGTAAACACATGTAATATCGAGGCACTCACACTTTCGATGTCTGTGTTATCGTTGCCTTTCAGCACAAAGGCAACGATAAGATTTTAGATCTCAATCTTCGATGTGAGCCCTCGCATTTGTGTTGGGCCTATGAGCCTAGGTCTAAAAAGGGGCTCTTAGTATATGAATCCGCACACTCTAAGACAGTGAAAAGAGCCATTGCACAGTCCAGTCTCCGCACCGCTTTGTTTAAGTCATGCCACCATAGGTGTGGTGAGAGCTTTTTTTATGCAAGTCACACGGTTGTCAAATGCTGGTTTTCCTTTGGGAGTTGTCATGGGCGTTGTGGAATCCTTGGTTAAGGTGTTTAGAGGGCCTGGTAGTACTGAGGCAAGACCAAAACCAACGGTAAGACCTGTGGTCTTGCTGTATATGCACAAGGTGTCCCATGGTGTCAAGAAGGTTGCCAGTAGGTACAACGTGCCAGTTGTGTTTTCGGCTCCAGCTAAGTTGGGGCAGCTGTGTGCAGCCGTGAATCGAGGTGGGTGCGCAATGTCAAGTTAAGCACCGCAATCCCTTTGTCGCCTGCGCATGTGGGGTGGTGTACCTTATTCCGTTGTCCTGTGGAAAAGTGTACATTGGGCAGACGGGGAGATGTGTTAACGACCGGGCGAGGAAACATTCTCTGTCCTTACGCTCCTCCCCGTCTGGCAACCTAGCGGTCCACTGTGACAGATGTGCGTGCTCTTCAATGTTTAAGGAAATTAGGATTTTAGCCCGACATAAAACTAAGTATGCTCGGGAGATTGACGAAGCTTTTTTTATTGCCAACCATGACGCGGGCATGTGCATTAGTGTTGCGTCACTTGCCCTGGTTAGTGATGAGGTGAATTTTATCAGAAAGGCGGGCAAATACGTGTAGCCACGTATCGGCTTGAGTGAAGGATGACGTGTTATCGGGCCGATTGCTTTTATGTTTTTCTCCTTTCAAGTTTACTTGCTGAATGGCGCAGCAGTAAATATTTCAGCTGTAAGTCAACGCTGTATCTGTGCGTTTCCTTTTACTGGTCCTTCGTCTTTTTTGCACTGTTTTATCCCATTCAAGATGCAGCAGCCAGTTTAATTACTGTGTTGTAGAGAAAAAAACTTTCTTCTTTTTTAAAACGATTTATTTATTAATTATGTAAAGCTTTATATGGAGCAATATGTGAATGGACCCTAATGCGAAAAACCCCAAATGAATGTCTCGAGAAGGTCTTGATTAGTACGGGTCGAAGTTTTAACGAGACGTTTTGAGATGCCTTCAATTGAAAAGTTTTCCATGCATAGCATAAAAACATTCACATTTGCATATCATGGCCCATTAACATTTTTTATTCAGTTTATTCAAACTAAATACACAAGAAGTTTTCATTATATCTAACCAGGGTGTCTAGCAAATTATTATTTTGAAATTCCCCGACTTATCCACGTTTTCCCTGACAATTGCAGGTGAAATTCCCTGACCACTGTAGAGGCAATTAAATGTATAAGACCATTACAATACAAGGCACTTAGAGGATTATTTTGCATGCAGTGATGTGACTGGCCTAAGCAGTTTCGGAGCACCTTTCGGAGCAGCCAAAACAGTGTTTTGGAGCAGCAAAAGTGGCTTTTGGAGCTGCTAAAACAGTGTTTCATAGCAGCAGAAGTGGCTTTCAGAGCAGATATTCTAATAAAAATAAAAATATTTATTTTAAATGCTGGACATGCGAAGGGAATCTTGCTCGCCGAAATAAACCAATTATGGTCAAGTTCGGCTACCTGGGAGTCTTTCAAGATGTAACTGAAATGCCAATGACATGACACAGTTATTTTTGCTTCTTGAAACATTCTGCAAGGCTCGAGCCAGCTTTGCTTTGGCTTAGGCTAGTAATGAATGTCCACTTTCAATGTCTCCAAGGAGACATTAAGACATCCCACAAGTGTACAATGCTGTAGGCATTGCCAAGCAATTCCGAAAAACCACTTGCCACCGTTTTACTGATTCGCGACGTGCCAGATTTTTGTCAAAAGTAATTAAATGTAAAACAATGAATTGCAAGCGTCCCGGCTGGTGCCTCTGTCGTGCAATTATGTTCGCATGCACGTGAGGGCAACTCCGGCAGGCTTGCAGGTGCACGTGCTTCATCGCGCAAGCGAAACGGCTGTTCGATCGAAACCGAAACCATGCCCCTCCGCTCCGTCGCCAACTGGTTGCCAAAAGTCTATGCAAAATGTAACTGCCCAGCATGCGACAAAAAAGAGTCCAGGGCCGCATGCTTGCAAGGCCGGCAAGCAAGGTACAAGCTAAACACACAGAAAAAAAGAAACTGAGCGCATCGATGCAAGACATCGCGAGCCAGGGTCACTAAGTTCTTGGAGCGCTTTGCGCAACGACTGAACTCGAGACAAACAAGCGCGCTGTGCGGGTTCAGTGTGCAGACATTCCCTTCTTTGCTTTAGCTCACTTCTCTTCAACTTTCTTTCACGGCAGATTTTTTACGTACCGGGGTCCCTCTCGAAAAAAGAAGAAACTTAGGTGTTTAATGGCACAGCGGCAACTAAGGCCATAGTGTGCCAAACACAAGGTAAGTTAAAGCCAATACTGAAAAGACCTATAGTAGGTAGTTCCATCTTAAAACTATAGAAAATGAATGATTAAAACCTTACAAGATACAGGCCTATTAAGGCCTCCAGAAATTTTAACCAATGCTCCACTAACCAGAGGCACTCTAAAGGAATTTCATTCACGCAAGGAAGTATGGAAAATGTGCCGACGATACAAGATCGCCGGCTCTCTGCCACCACTAATTTTCAGGTAAACGTAATAGAAAAGAAAGCAAACTAAATTTCATAGCCGATGTAGGATGCCAATGCGATCTAAAAACTTAAAAACTTGACGGTGCAGCACAAGAGGTTCGTCACCCAATAATAATGCCGGGTGGAACGGGACGCGATTCCGGAAAAAGGTAGAGAAAAAAATGGTGCGTTCGTGATGGTACTTGGGAC